GGTATCTGTCACCCTCTTCTGTCCTCCATCTGTGCATGTATCCACATCCACACACTCACACATGTGCACATATACACAAAATAAATTTGAGGCAGGGGGTGGGGGGGAGGAGGGAACAAGGCATAACCCAATAGAATTGGTATGGAAAATGATTTCCATGAGGAAGCTAGAGCTGTATCCCTTTTGGATGCCAGGTCAGATTTGAAGGAATTAATGTTTGTTCCAAGACCCCAAGGATTAGGAGCTGTCATTCACACAAAGAACACAGGAAAGAGAGTTCTGGCAATATATGCAGAGCGAATGTGAAGACTGGCACAGAGAAGGGACTTTCTCATCCAGAGAACTGAGAAACTGCCATTAGGAATAAAACTTCAAGAACAAGAGGAAAAGCCAAGTCCCAGACTAACAACCAATGTTCTGAGACAGTGAGCACAGTACTAGCCATGAACTACAAGAGCAGTATGGGGAACTGAATCCCAACTCTGAGGTATGATAGTATAGTTCTTAAAGACAGACTCTATGACTTCCACAAGACTTTCCAAGACGTGTACTCCTTCTCTCCCCACAACATGACTTGATTTCAAGGGGAACACAAGGCACATGCTATCAGCAGGACTAGAGAGACAAAGGGTGCAGCTTAAGGCTATGTGGAATGTTTTTATCCTAGCACCCTGAAAACTACTTAAGAAATCTATGCATGCTGTGGGATGTTCTGTATGTCCTGTGGAAGCCTGTTCTCGGGTTCCTCGTGGCTTTACCCAGCAGGTCCGCATAGAGGATGATTAGGACCATGGGCCTGAGTGCAGGTGCCTGAGATGGTCTGCACTTGGCTGTGCTGGGGGATGGTCTGTATGGCAAATGTGTTGCTCTGATTGGTCAATAAATAAAACCTGATTGGCCGTGGCTAGGGAGGAAGTATAGACAGGACTAACAGAGAGGAGAAATAAAAGAACAGGAAGGCAGAAGAAGTCACTGCCAGCCGCCTGCCAGGACAAGCTGCGTGTGAAAATGCTGGTAGCCACGAGCCACGTGGCAAGGTACAGATTTATGGAAATGGATTAATTTAAGATATAAAAACAGTTTGCAAGAAGCCTGCCACGGCCATACAGTTTATAAGCAATATAAGTCTCTGTGTTCACTTGGTTGGGTCTGAGCGGCTGTGGGACTGGCGGGTGACAAAGGTTTGTCCTGACTGTGGGCAAGGCAGGAAAACTCTAGCTACATATGCAAATAATCGTTCTTGATGGGAGAGACAAGGGAGTGACTTGAGCTACTGTGTGCAGTGTCTTTGGGTGTAGGCAACTTTAGGTGCCCGCCCCACGTGTGCTCAAGACACACAAAGGAAAGCAGCAGGTAATGTCAGTGATTGGGAAAGGTGGTGCTTTCATGCTAGAAATCAAATTAGCAAACAGACAAGAAATTAGAGATAACCGCGAATTATAAGGACTTAACCCTGTCGTGTATTTAGAAGTATGGGAAACATATTCTAAGTGTAAAAGTGGCACAAAGATGTCTGGCCTGAAACAATGTGCTGTCCCCAAACCTCCCAACCCAAATATTTGGGAATTCTGCTTTGAGATTTCCTCTTCCCTCCATCCAATGGTTATAGAAGAGATTGAAAACCAACCGGAATGTTTCTCTGAACTGATTTTTGAAAGCTATCCCCACCCCTTATACGCTCCATACCTCTCCTATCCAAATCGCCTAAATGTCTGGATGATGATTTGGAGACGCTTGGACTTGTTAATTAACCTAGACCGTCACATTCATCTGCAAGGTGCATTATTGTTAATTAAAACTGCGCTTCTCCTTGTGCCCAGACGGAGGACTGCTGTTGTCAGAATAATTAGATAGCATAGGATAGTTTTCATGCAAATTCCTGGCAATTAGAGTTGGCAAAGAATTGGGTTTGAAATCCCAGTGAAGTTCTCAGTGAGAATTCCTAGGAGGCTGCAGAAGAAAGGTATTGGGAGACAGGGAAGGAGGGTAGAGGTATGGTGGTGGATGAAAGGATTTAGGAAATGTGCATTTGTTTCCTAAATCCTCTAGGGTGGCGGGGCTCAGCCAAAAATAAATGAATTACAAGCTTCAATGTGATGTTCAAACTTTCCTGAAGAAAAAAATTTTGCCCTTAATGTAAATTGACCCTCCCCGGGGCGTTATGCATCCCCGAGAGCTTGTTTCCCTGACTCTGATCTTTCTGAGAGAAGTTTTTTTTTTTTTTCCCTCTTAGCCAGGAGGCCCAATAACTCATACGCAGCTAAAATCCCTGCCAACCCGTAGATTAAATTCTAAGGGAACAGAATTTGTATTCCTGAAGGGTTGCACAGAAGATGCCACATTCCAACCCAATTTAGAGTGGTTAGTGGTACCCATTGGGTTAAATAGGTTTGGGTAGCAGGTCCCCATGGAAAGCTTCTAGAATTGGCTGAGGTCAGAGTTAGACATAAGGATGAACTGTCCAGCTGCAGGATACATAATGGCGAGGGGGGGGGGGCAGTCCCAAAGGGCCTGGAGCAAGAAGGCAGGGGTGAGGGAGGGGAGGGGGAGGGGGAGCAGACAGCTTAAGCGTTCTTGTTTCCAATCTGCGGTGACCTCTTATCAGTTTCTGGCTTCTGTTTCTGCCTTCCTTTCGCAAGAGATGTGATAGCTGTCAGCTATCACCAGGACTCAACCCAGACTGGACGAGGAGGGAGATCTAGCTGGGAGTGTAGGATCCAGGTAGAAGAGACAGCCCTGGTGGTATTAGGCCAAGTTTCCCCTGAGCATGGGAAGAATCAGGGAGCCCAAACAGCCTTACCACCCCTTAAACTAGGTCAGCATCTAAATCCAGTGCCTTGTAAGAGAGGAAAGCAACATCTGGAATGATTTCGAGAGCAGTTGGAGATTCAAGGGTGTGGGGAGGGGGCGGCGGGGGGTGGGGGGGAGTTGGCAACAGAAAAGGAAATAGAAAACAAAAACACCAGGACACATTCACCATCACTATGGTTGGAGACCTGAGCATAATTTAGGCTTGTAAATTATTTCCTTTTTCCTCATTTTCTTTCTCTTCCTTTATGTTTCAGAATGTCTCCCGCGTCTCAATCGGTCCCACAACCACGCCTTTCAATTTATGGTGCACCAATCAGGAACTAAACCTGGTGGTTGCTAAGAGACCAGAGGAGGGAGATTTAGAGTCTTTGTCAAAGCACCCACCCAGGAAAATTCCCTGATCCTTCTGCACCCTCCAGCCTAGGATGTTTTAAGTCATCCCTGCCCATCTCCTTCACTTTCCTCTCCGTCCTTAAACCCAGAATGTCATGCATAGATACCTTAGGGAAGAGGACAGTAGAGAACCTTTTTGAAAGTATGGAAAGACTGTAAGTAGATTGAGATCGATGTGAAGTAGCCACTCAAGTTTTCCGGGGTGGGCTTGAGGTGGGTTGCTTGAAGAAATCTGTGGTCTTTCCAGGTAGAGGGTAAGATCGATTTTGACAGGTGTGCTACATATGAAGAGTGTCTTACTTGTTGTCCTCCTGCACACTACCCAAGCTTTGCTGGGCAGGGCATGAAGACAACCCTCCAAAGTCACAAGAAACAGACAGAGAAGCAGGCAAGTGTGGGGGGACAGATGTCCTAGGATGCTGGGGGTGGATAAGAGAAGGACACAAAGACTAGTGTGAGGTAAAGGCTTCTTTTGAGAGCTGGGCTTTGAAAGGGAAACTTGGGCAGTTTGAGCCCCAAGATGGATTGAGTAGGGGTGTCTCCCTTTGAGTCGCTTCACCATTTCTTCCTTCACGATCTCTTTCTTCTATACACCACATACAGAAATGCTGGACATAAACAGCAAGTAAATGAACTTACCGAATAGAGATTTCTGCCCTTACACCCTGAACAGGTGCAACAGATTTAAGTTAGGAAGGGGGCTCTGCGAGAGGTTTGTGCACACACATGGGTGTGTGTGTGTACTGCAGATACTGACTGAGTGTAAGCTCATGCATAGACACGTTTCACTGCGTGCATGCCTCTATTATAACATGGATACTACAGGTCCTAACAGATTGAGAGACAGATGTATAGACACACCAGAGAGAGAGAGAGAGAGAGAGAGAGAGAGAGAGAGAGAGAGAGAGAGAGAGAGAGAGAAAGAAGGGGGAGGAGGAAGAAGGGTCATGATGAAGAATAAACCTGCAAGAACACACACACACTGATTCACAGTCACCCAAGCATGCATGCATTCACATACAGAGAGAAATGAGCATACAGAGGAATCAAGGTCATGGTAATGAAAAACTCAAGTGTGCATACGTGCATGCAGAGAGAAGGGGAGAGGGGAGGGGGGAGTGGTGGAGAGAGGGGGAAGGAGAGAGAGAGAGAGAGAGAGAGAGAGAGAGAGAGAGAGAGAGATTGGGCAGGGGTGTCCAGGTCATGATGAAGAGTTAACTTGCAAAAGACAGCTCCTAGGAAGCAGCATTTTACACTCTCAACACATGCCCTAGACTAGGCTATGGTAACATCTTTGGTCAAAGTGACTGGCAACCTTAACAGGGTAGCCATTCCCCAATGTCCCTGAACATACTTCTTTCATTTCCTCCCACCAAGAAGACAAGGATTGTCTGGATGGGTCGGACAGGAGGGGAGCACCACTGCTTTGTGCTTCACTCTCTGCCACTCATCTCTGTCTCGTCCCCCCCCCCCCCCGGCCCCTGCTGCCCCCGCAACTCGGTTTCTATACCTATTCACTTACTTTCTGAAATGGCTTCTCTTCTTTTGCTCATCGAGTCTTGCCTTCTTGTTTAGAGAGTTCATCTTCTCCACTCACGCCATTGTCTCTCTTTTCTATCCCCACAAGAAGAGAGTCATCACTCACCTCAAGAGAACATCTCTATGCCCTGGGGATGTTTATCTACCATCCTCTTTCTTCCAGGGCAACTCTAGAAACAGGAAAGGCAGGCTTCATATTGCCCTCCTGTCTCTCCATGGTCATTCTCCTTCTCCAGATGAAATAAGAAAACACCCGCTTCATAAAGGCAGTATAGACTTTAATTTAGGTTGACACATGGGGAAAGAACTAGCATTTGCCTGCAAAGGCATCTGTAGGAGAAGACTGTCTTGCAGTGGGGGACAGAGAGACCAAGGATCTACGGGTGGTCTGGTGGCAGAACAGGGCCAGGACCAGGGGTGTAGCCACACAATGCAGCACAGCTAGGACTTCTGCCAGGTTCAGCATCACATCTAGAATCTGCTGGGATGGACAGGATGGCAAAAGCACGATTTGGGACCTCACCAAGGCATCAAATAGGAGAACCATCCCATGAGGCCACCAGAAAATGAACCAGACCCACAGGACACTAACCCAGGGGCCTGACTCCTTGCTCAATGCTTTCTTCAGCCCGTTGGCTGCCAAGAGAGCCAGTGGGAACACGGTGAAGATGGTAAAACAGATTGCAGAGTGTGCAGACTTCAAAGCTTCCAGGTCCTTGTTGGATGCAAGGGTGCAGAGGTCATTGTAAACATCACTGGCCAAAGTGACTGGCAGCCCTAACAGGCCAGCTGCTCCCCAAAGTGCCACAGTGAGTCCCAAGGTGAGGCCACGGATTTGACCTATATTCACTCTGGGGTTCAGGCAGGCATAGCACCCTATGAGCAGGGCCTGGGCAAAAGCTGAAGTATACCAGACCCAGTAGCCCAGGTAACACAGGCCTGTGCTATGGACAGTGTTGAACCCTGGTGCCAGGATAGGCACCGCCATGCTGAAGAGGGCACTGCCTACTGCCAACTGTGCCAGAACAGGCCAGCTGGGGCAGATCTGCCAGTGGAAGAGAGGCTTGAGAATGGCGAAGAGGACGGCACCGCTTGCCAGCATGCCCAGGACACTGGTGAGGATGAAGAAGGGCAGTGAAGAACTGTCCAGCAGATTACAGGAGCGGCAGGGAGCGGCTGCCCCAACGCTGTAGTTATCGGGAAAGTCATAGGCGTTTTCTTCATACGAATAATTCCACAGATCCATAAGCCACTCAGTCTCATTCTTGTCTAGTGAAAAGGAGGTTTCCACCTACAGGGTGTACCCAGAAGGGACAGTCAGTCAGGGAGGGCATCTGGAACCTCAGTGAAGAGGCTGGGGTGCACTTTGGATTTGGAGCTTGGATTTGGAGAATAGGGGGATCTGCCTACAGGAGGTGGGTACAGTGGGCAGGGTGACAAGGGAAGCTGCGGAACCAGCATGGTCAGAGCCACAGAGGAGCCTGGTCAGAGCTGTGTGGAGACTTAGAAGAGTAGGATGGGGAGGGAAGTGAGGAGAAACCTGCAC